GGTTCCACATGCTTTTGAAGGATTACTTACCGGGATAGTGTTCTCTGTCGAGAGGTCCTCGGTGCCTTCTGCAGTGCCTGCTGGTGGGCAGTCTGTGACTGTCTCAGGAGGCATGAGTATTGGCAGGGGTTTGCTCACTCTAGCCCACATTGTCTGTGTACCATAATCTATAATCGCGTCAAAGCGATTTATAAAATCCTGGCCGACCAAAAATGGGAATGAGTTAACCATAGACACATATACCGGGTGGTATAGTGTCATTTCGCCAACCTGCATGTGAACCATAGCTCTAGCTGTCAGGGTTTTCCTCGCCTCTGCGAGGCCCTGCAGTCCTATAGCACATTTTATGAGAGGTATGTCCCTGTGAACACCGTTAGCGGCAGTCCTGAGCTCCTCGAACAGTCTGGCAGACATAATAGTCATGTCGGCTCCACCATCCAGTAGGGCTTCACGTGTGAGGACTCCTTCAAGTGTGATTGACAGGTAAGCTTTATTAGCGACCCCCTTTCTGATCAGGTTACACAGGAACCTTGTAGTTTTTGGCCGACGTTTCTTCTTACGTTCACCTATACCTGTGTAATCCTGGTTTTTCGTCTCAGGCTGTTCAGCCCGACGTGGTGGAGAAACGGTACCCCCTTTGGGGTTCCCAGTGGGATCCCTGGTTGTATGGGTCACTTTTGGTGCCATACGTTTTACCCTTAGGGCGTTCACCCCCCTTCTGGTACGATCGTTCATCCTCTGGTTCCTTGGGAAATCGTTTAGGATCTCGTCTGGACCAGGGAGCACTCACCTGTCGTGGTTTGGCTGCTGGGAAACCTCGTTTCCTCTCGCCTTTTTTGGGAGGGGGAGTCGAAGCTCTCGTCCCTTCCAATTCTAATGACTGGGCAAGAATCCTCTCACCTGGGTACACCTCAAAGGGTGTTTTGGCCTGTGAACGTGCTTCAAAGACATTCACAGCACAACTTTTTATCTCACTGATGGATTTCTCTTTGAAATTAGCCATCATTTGCACTGACATCCTTATGTCAGGGTGGAGATTTTTGCTGAACACCTACTTAAACGGTTCTTCTTCCTCCATGTTGGCCTTGTTCCAGTAACCAAAATAAGCCTGCAAAACCCTGGAACAATATGCCCTGGGGTGCTCATTCTTACCTTTCACGACCTTGTCGGCGGCTGGATACCTGCCAGGTCCCGTGCAGGGTGAATACTCTTTCATAAGAGCAGCACATAACAGGCGTTAATCCTTTCTTGTGGCATCAGGTTGACGCTCTATGAAGGAAAACACCATCCTGGATGAAGTGAGCCTGATAAAACCTACTTTATCCTCAACTGTAGCGTTGGGATAGCTTTCTTAATTGGTAATCAAGGTTGTCCAGATAGGCCTTAGTGTCACTTGAACCCAACGGCCCTGGCTCAAATCGATTGACATATTTTGCAATCTTGTGCAAATCCGAAATTGGGATTAAAGGCTGTTTTATCGGTATCATAGGAATCAAAATGGCACGCGAAGGTGTGTCGCTAGACTCATGTGGAGGTGAAGGAATGGGATTAAGAGCAGGAGGTGCAGGAAAATCCTTCTGAGGTGGTGGTGGGTGACCTGGACTCTGACCTTGTTCGTCTTTGAGTTCTAGACAACCCCGCCCCACGTCAGAAATGTCATTTGTTGCTACGGCTAGTTTAGCCTCACAGGCTTTTAAGCATTCCTGTGATGTATGACATTCACTCTGCAAACGCACGCCTAGTTCGACCAACGCCACTTTTTCCAACCTGCACTCGTTCAGAGCGTTTGATGTGAGCTACAACTGTTGTTGTAGCGTATCGTTGTCTGAACGCTGTGTTTGGCACTTAATCTGTCCCTCCCTCATCTTCTCCTCATATGAGTGAGCTTGTAATGACAGCTGAGCTTGTGAGAGATCTCTGTCACGTTGTAACTCATTCGCACGGGTCTCCTGATCAAATTTAGACTGTGCCATGAGTTTGAGGTGCTCCTCTTTTTCACTGTTTAACCTTATTGCAAGGTCGTCAGACTTGTTTACCACAGCATAGAATGTTGCTTTCAATAAGAGCACCAATTTAGCCAGCTGGTCATAGCTTGACTTTGTTCTGGCTGTAGAGGTCACACTCTCTGCAACATCCTTCAGCTCGTCCAATAACTCTTTTGAGTTCATGCTGTCCACCTGTTCACCATATGGATTTAAGGATTCTGTGAGCAGCGTCAACGCTCTCTCTAACCAATCCATCACACAAGGATCAATATTCTTTTCTGTCACATCTGCCATGGTTATTCACTGTTCAGCACTTATCTGGTTAACCAGTTGCCAACTTCAGATATTTTAACAGGTAAATATATGTATTCAAGTGAGCAGTGAGTTCCGCACACTATTTTAGCTCTGGATTCACTCAACAGTAGACACGTGAGCAACGGGGTGGGCTTTACAATCTGACATCAGAGGGAGTGAACGCAGACACGTCACCCGTTTCTCAGCGAATCAGAACGACCCAAACAGCAGTTTTCAACCAATCACAGCTCGTGATTCCAGCTAGCAGTGTTAGCAGTTAGCCTGAAAAAGTCCTGTCAGCTATCCCCCATTAAACTTCAAAAATGCACAATTTACTGTTAAAAATGTAACAAATCCGCATTTAACAGTGGTCTGACATGGTGCTCAGCTTCAAAACAGCGTTTTATCCATTTAAATACCACTCGTTCAACGAAACAGAACTGAGTCGAGTAGAACCGGGTCAGACAGAACCCCCTTCTCTGCTACAGTTTAAACAGAATAAAGCATCTTTCCACAGCATGCGAGCATCAGTTACACAACAGAAGTACAATTTTCAGCTTTAAAATGAACACATTGACATTTGTTTTGTTTTTTGTTTTTTTGAATGTCCAGAGGACCAGATTGAACTTTCTTGGATTTTTCTACCTGGATTATTGAGCATGCATCAGGATACATTGACATTACTTTCAGCTCTCTGAACACCACAAGCAGAATCATGCTCTATCAAGCTCAAAACTCGGACCTTTTCATGCCAACACTCAGCGTCCATCTCAATGATACAGACTCCGTCACATATAATTCACACCTCTTTAAACATTCGTATGGCCACAAAATGTCTAAAGGGGAGAATAGCTGGTCACAAGAAGCTCTTTAGAGACCACGTTGGGCCACCAGAATGTAGTATGCTAAGGCTAGGTTAGCTTCAGAGCTCCACTACAGTCAATTTTTAATAACGGGTTCTCACTTTTTCGAGCTACTTGACAGATATGTGACAGAGGTACTGTGTTGTCGATGGTTTAATCAGTGACATGAGACGTTAATTTTCTTTGACCCATGAAAATAAATGTGGTCATTTATTAACATAATCAAAATTTAACATCAAAACATTGTACACTTGATTATACTGATCGGCTCTGATTAAAAAAAACGGCACGTTTTACTTAATAAAAACAACAGACCTTTCTGAAGATATCTGGGTTAATTACTAGCAAGATAGAAGAGTTTTAAAGATGGGAAATGAAGGAGTTTAAATGGAGAGAAAAGATGGATGAGGATGTAAGTCTGTAGACAAGAACAACACGCTCCTTTCAAGCGCAGCTCGCCGTGGTACACTTGTAGTGAAGCCAGTGACGACTCTTTACCTTTGCGGAGAATGGGTCAGCTGCGGTCAAGAGGTCCCTGGCACGCTACCTTTCAGTGTCTCCTCAGGGCGGCTGCGACTCAGCAGAAGTCGTGAGATAATCCGTTCCACAGAACAAACTTCCTCAGCAGTTATAGGGCATTCGCTGGGTGGAGCCACAGCGAGGCGTCGTGGCTCCTACAGAGATGGATGACTCCATCAGCCTGGAAAACTGAGTCCGAAGTTCCACTCAGCAGTGGAAAAACTCCAGAACTCCAGAACTACTCCAAGAGACTCAGAAGAACTCCTAGGAACTCCAACCGAACTCCATCAGAACCAGAAGAACTAATGGAACCAACCAACCAACTAACTAAACTAGGAAGTGTCGACTTTTAAAGAGTTCTGCTTCTGGTCACTTTTAGGAAGTCCTGATTGGTTGAAGGAACCAACAGGGGTGTGGTTTTAGTGACGTCAGAGGGTCATTACAAGTCAAGAAAACATCAGAAATGTTTAGGAACGGTTAGTTACAGACGAGAAAATATTTTGGAGAAATGACAGACTTACAGGTCTCGGTTTTCTTGTTTCTGTCTGAGAGGTTTAAAAACACGACAGTTCGTTCCAATAAACTTGTTTTTGACTGTCTCCGACTTTTGACCGACATCACTCCTTCTCATTTCAGACAGAAGATCAAAAATGCATAATTACATTGTAACATAGACATTTAACTTGATTTCTACTTTGAATGAGAATTAAAAAATCATTAATACTGTTTCACAGTTGATTTAAAATGAGTGGTTCACTTCAACATTTAAAAATGGTATGAACTAAACACACTTTTGATTATCAAGATATTGTAAATAGTAATGATAATATGAAAAAGAGAGTGTTCTTTCAATTGATTAGTTTAGGATACAATTAGAAAGTCTCTGGATGAGCTAATTTGTATTTCTGGATTCAAATCAATGAAATAACAGTTCCTGTCCCATGACGGTCTTCAGAGGCAGGTTTGATCGGAGGCCTAGTTCACTACACTATAAATAAAGGTAAGCCATGCAAATTTGTTTGTATCAAACAAGTAACCCTTCGTGTCTCTCGGTCCCACTGAAGTAGCTCTCAGTCTCAAAAAGGTTGGTGACCCCTGCCATAGATTAATCTACGGCAGCCTTGGCCCCCATAGATTAATCTATGATGGCCTTTTTTCAAGTTATGCTCACAACATGCACAGAAAGATGGACAAATTGACAGAGGGTATTTCCAAATCCCCCTGAAAAAAAAAAGACTGAAGTAGTTTAAAGTGTGTAACATAATCCGAAGTGTTGACTAGCCATGGGTAAGATATCACATGAGTTGCACATGCACAACACAAGATAAAAGCAACCCACCTTTACATTTGAAGTTCTTTCTCTTGTACATTTTAAATGCTATGCCGGCCAGGAGAACCAGCAGGATGACTGTGAATGCCAAAGTTGCACTTAAGACGTAGACCAGAACCAAAAAGTCCACTTTCTCTGTAGAAAGAGTCATGTTTTAGGATGAGTGGAAAGTATCCATCACTTTTTGAATAATTTGCTGAATCAAGGAAGAAGTGGGTAAAGATAATGGATGGATGGATGAATTTTAAGTATATTTGCTAAAAATTTTGTTACCTGTTGAATTCAATGTGATCCCATTGCTAAAGAGTATTTGTCCACATGAAGCAACAGCACAGAGATAAGTCCCAGCATGAGAATGGTTCGGGTTCTTCAACGGCACGTTGTAGAGACAGGTTTGTCTTTTTGATGTTATTTCACATTCATCATCCCTGCCTCCATGAGTATAAATGAGACCCACATGAGATTCTTCAGAGTTTCTGAACCAGTAAACTCTGTGTTCTCCATCACAAGGCCCAGTTTGAATCATACAGCTCAGAGTCACAGAACCTCCTGACCGATGTACAACAGTTTGGATGTTCAAACCAGAACCTTTCACGTGGACAACAGCTCCCTCCAGAAAGTCTAACTCAAATGACTTACCACTGACGCAGTAGTAAGTAGCTGAGTCTGACAGTTTCACGTCCGAGATCTTCAGGTGATGTTTACCACTCCCATACTCCAGGTCAAACCGAGGGTCATTCCTGAACTCATCGTTCAAGGAACCATTCCTCGAATGCTTTAAGATCTCCGACACTTTCTGTGGTTTTTGTCCCAGAGTTGTTTTATACCAGTACAAGATCATCCCATGATTGTCTTGATAAAAGCATTTTAAAGTCACATTCTGGCCAACTTTAACTGACTCAAAATGTAAAGATGATGATTGTGGCAGGGCTGCCAAGCCAGCTGAAGAGAAAGTAAAACCAAGAAAACACAAACACATACATTAAAAATAATAAATTATGAAGCTAACACAGATAGTAAAAAAGAGTAGAAGCTTACCAATTGTTCCCATCAGCAGACACGTCAAACAAGCTGCAAACATCAGAGGAGACATTTTGTTTCAATGTCTGTGCCTCACTGAAAACATCTTGTACAGTGCTCCACTTTTCAAAGAGCAGACCAGGATCTGATTGGGCACCAAGAAACAACTGAAAACTGTTCACGCCTGCTTTAGACTTAAATATGACAAGAAGATATGAGAGCAGAGATTGAAATAAAAAGTGGAATCAAGCAAATAAGGATTTACAGATGAACCTGAAAATAATCTGTGTATTTTAATTATTTTCTGATTGTCTTTGTGTTTAAGATTAGGTTTAGATAGGCAGACAGCCAGACAGACAGACAGAGTTTTCTTGAACACATCATCACGTTGGACTTTCACAGTGATGTATTGTGTTCTCTCTGCTGGTAACTTGAGTAATTAGTTTGCTCAAGGAGTCTTGTTTTCTGGATTTATCTGTCTTTTGCAGTTTTATATTCTATTACACAAACACCCTCAATACAGCTGTTTTTCTACTGTTGGATTGTGCTTGAAACACCTTTTATCTTTCAACACTTCTTGGTTTTTATTAGTGTATTTGGGATCTGCTAGCTCTTGCTTGTGTTAGCTTAGCGTGGCTTCTGATTATCTCCTGGCTTCCTCTGTTCTCACTTGTTCTGTGTGTCAGATGTTTGGTTATTAATATGCCTCCTTTATCAATAAATGGTACATTAATAAATGTACTCTTATTATTGTAGCTTTGGAGAAGTGGCTGTCTGAACTGGAAGCTTGGCTCTGTACTATTGAAAAACAAATAGCTAGCCAAGTCCCAATAGGCAGTGCAGAGCCACTGAGACTAGCTCCCGTTAGCGGTCCTCCAGCAGACCCTGAGCAGCTGGAACCCCAGGCCGGCTGGGTAATGGTCCGGAGTAAGCATAGTGTTAAGGCTAAGCCCCCAGTTCACTACAGAGCCATTCAAAATTCTAATTGATTTTCCCCAGTGACACACCAGCTAAGAAGCAGACCCTGCTTATTAGAAGCTCCATAGTCCAAAACATGACTTTAGGGACTCCAGCGACCTTAGTTAAATGCATTCCAGGAGCCAGAGCAGGCGACAAAGAATCTTATCTGAAACTGCTGACTAAGGCTAAATACAGTAAGATTGTTATTCACGTTGGCAGTAATGACACCCGGTTACACCAATCAGAGGTCACTAAAATTAATGTTGCTTCTCTAGCCCACTCCCCAACCTGACCAGCGATGACATATTTAGCTGTATGTTGTCGTTCAACTGCTGGGTGTCCAGGTGGTGTTCTGAAAACATTGTGGGCTACATAGATAACTGGAGTGCTTTTTAAGGAAACCTGATCTGATGCGGAGAGATGGCACCCATCCCACTTTAGACGGAGCAGCTCTTTGTGGAAATGAAAACATTGATACCAGTTTATTTTGTTCATCAATTTTATTATCACCTTTATTATTCATTTACTTTATATCACTACACTCTGTTAAGCTTATCTGGACTGCAGCAGTTGCACTCCTCCAAAATCAGTGTGTGAAACTTTTTTCTTCTGAGTCTCACTAACCTGTCGGTACGAAACCCAGCTCCAGAACCAGTCACACTGACCACAAACATATTGTCTGTTTTTACCCTGATAAGATTGACACTGACCACAAACGTACTGTCTGTTTTAACCCTGATAAGATTGCAAATGAGGTTAACGCCTGTTGTGTCTGTTGGATTTCATGTTTTATCTTTTATCATTATTTTAATCAAGCTTGAAATTTCTTTAATTACCTTACAATCATTTAAATATTAATCAGTTACTTTGATTTGAATTACTTAGTTAAATAGAATATTAACTTCTCACTCACCCGTACATGAACGACTTGATCAGAGCGTTTGTGAAAGAATGCACGTTATGCAGTTTGTATAACTCCAAGCCAACTCTTAAACCGCGTCAACAAGGAAAGTTTCCCACGGACATGACACCGGGTCGTGAGGTAATAATTGATTACACTGACATGATTCAACCGGTACGAGGTTTCAGATACCTATTGGTTTGCGTTGACGCATTCACCGGATGGCCAGAAGCCTGGCCTGCTAAAAAGGAGGATAGTCAAACTGTAATCAAGTGTTTAATAAATCACTACATCCCCAGACATGGGTTCCCTGCGATAGTCAGATCTGATAATGGGACTCATTTCAAAAATGCAGATCTGTGTAGTGAACCTGATCTGAACCTGATCTGACCTCAAATCTTGATCAGATGAACAGAGACTGTTATTTCATTGATCTGCATCCAGAAATACAGTTTGAGCCATCTGGTGACTTTCTTTCTTGAATTAATCAAGCAGAAAAGACAATTCTCTATGATCATTACTATTTTACAAATGTTTGATAATCAAGTTGTGTTAGTTCACTCAATGTTTACAGGTTGAAGAGAACTACTCATTTTTATTTTACATAAACAGTAAGTAATGATTTTTATTCCTCATTCAAAGAAGAAATCAGGTTAATATGCATTTCTTGATTTTTCTGTCTGCAATGAGCCAAGTTTTGTAAGTATGTTAAAGGTCGGCTTTCGGTCAACTAAAATGTTTACCGAACAAAAATGTCATGTTTAATCTTTACAGAAGATACAGAAGAGTTTGACTCCACGAAGTCTGGTTTCTGCAATAATCTCTCTGTCTGTTGTTTAAACAATCTCATTCTCTGACCTCGAATTTGATAACATCTTACATCACAAACCACACCTTTTCCTGGTCCATCGACCAATCAAAAAGCTCTCAAATGACCCGGAAGTCGACCCATTTAAAATGTGGCAACTTCCCAGTTCATCGAGTTGCTCCAGTTGCTAGAGTTGCTGTTTTGCTGCGCTCAGGAATGAGTTCAGAGAGAGTGCAAAAGTCTGAAGTCTGAAGCCAGACGCTGAAGATTAATGGAGCTAAAAAGAGTCTGATGCTGCAGAGCTCTGAGAGTTCCACACAGAGTGATGGAGTTAGAGTTCTTGGATGCAAACGCGTTCAGGATGATCCAGAGACGTTTTGGGATTATAACTTCTGTTTGAACAAACCTCGTACGACTCTCGAAGGATTTCAGCTGCTCTCAACGGAGACGCTGAAAGAGTCTGAAGGATTCTATACCGAGCTGATTTATCATCAACCAGGTAACGATTCTACTTCACCAAGCGTACCGTCGCAAGCTGAGATCTGAAGGAGCGTGCAGTTTCTGGTCAAACAGATTAATTCCCTCACAAATCTCTCTGTAAGATAAATCTCCATTTCCATCTTAAACTCTGCTTTCTCTCAAAATCAGTACAGATATTTTAGAAATATCTGAAGCAAAGTCCTCGATCACCGCCGTGTGATTGATGTACATTATTTGTGAAACTTGTCTGTTATTATTTTCATATTTTGCCAAATTAATGTAAATGTTTGATGTTAAACTTTGATTCTGAAAATAAATGACCGCATTCATTTGATGGGTCAAAGATAAATGACGTCTCTCGTTACATTTCTGTTAAAATTCAATGCACGACATTTACACAGTCAGAAAGATGAGGAACTCGTGAAAAGTATGAATATATATCCTATATGACATACTACTACAGTTGGTGGCCCGTAACGTGCTCATAAATGACTGTAAATTCGTGTCAAGATTGATTTTTTACATGTTGGCATAATGAAAAATAACAGTTGTCAGCTGTGATTGAACGCAGCGCGCTGCTGAAGCTGCTGCACCGCCTGAAGTCAAAACGCTGCATGTTTTTAAGCGTGTTGGTCTGTGAAGCTCACAGGAAGCTGAAATAGTGTCATATGTCTTTATGAAAGCTGAAATTGTACGCCTGTTATCGTAACTAAAAAGGTTTTGAGCTGGGTGAAAACGCTCTATTCTGTTTAAAGACGGTCCAGATGCGGTTCTGGACAGCTCGGTTCTGGAAAAAGTTCGAGTTGTTTTAAACGGTTTAAAAGACGTTGTGCCACGGAGTAGCAGACTCCGCAAAGCTCAGAGTTGATTCGTTACATTTTTTAACAGAAAAAGTGCATTTTGACAGTTTAAAAGACGAAAAGTTGACGAATTTTAGTTCACGTGAATCTAGCATGCTGGTTGCTTTAACGTTTCATGATTGGTTGAATATTGCTGTTGTGGAGCGCTCTGATTTGCTGAAAAGGTTGACTGACGTGGCTACGTCATCTCCTCTCAACCCTGCGCTGCTCTGTCATTGGTGATTTCAGTCACGTGACCCGGAAATGAAAATTCGTTTTCATAGGGAAATAAAATCTGCTTTTTAAAGCTGAAAAGCGCTTTAAAAGTGTATTTTGATACGCTGGTTAGGTTCTTCGAAGCATACTCGCTGAAATTTTGCCACGTTAGAGTTTAAAATCCGTCATTAAATGATGTTTTTTGAACAACGCTAGCGATGCTAATTTTAAGCTAACAGCTAACGACCGGAGCCTTCACTACGCTTAAAATCACTAAATAAAGCTGCCATATGTCCAGAAAACTCATGTTCATGCATAAAAGTCGTGCTTGTTGAAACTACGCCACGTTTACGCTTAAATTCGTTCAGAAATGTTGATTTTAACCGAGTTTAGCCGAAGCTAACTTTAAGCTAAGCGGCTAACAACAGGATGTCAACCGAACGTCACAGGAAGTCGTCATAGACTCCTGCTGGTAGAAAGCTAAACGCTTCCCCCTCCTGGAGAAACTTTAAATCACAGTTTCACTTCAGTTTTAGGTTTAAAGAGTGAAATTAAACGTTTTTATTTTTCTAAAAGGCATTTTTGAGTTAATAAACGTTCCTCAAAGCTGAATAAATACTGTTATCTTGCATTTTAAAAGTTATAAAGGTATTTATGCAAAGAGCATTTACCAAAGAGACTTTATTCACTGGTAATCCCTTAAAAGGTACAAAATAAAGTTAGGAACTTTTTAAAAAATAGAAACGGTTCAAATATTCACAGAGTTGAAAAGTTTACTCATTTTGCTTGAAAGATAATACACGTTTAATTGCAAAATCACTAAATAAGAGTAAACTTATCAGAAAAAGAAACTTTTCTGTTTAAGTTGC